TTGCTTAGCTAATTAATGGCACTTATTAACAATCACAGATTTGTGTATTTGATCCCTGTATGGGCCGCTTAGCGTTCTTTTTTTCTGCACTCCCAAATCTTGCAAATCTAAGGCCTTGATCACCAGTCTGGCCAGTTGAAGGGCTCTCGGAGAGTACCTGGCCGTTCCATCTTTGTCACGGGTAAAGTAGCTCAACTCATCTACCCAATGGTGGGCATCTCTTTGAATATGAAGAGGGCATTTCCTCAGGAGCGATTTCATTGCTACTCTAAATCTCTGTGGCCTATAATGAAATTGTCATCCCTGTTAGAATGTAAAGTGCACGATGTTCTATGCCCACAACCTTGAATTGGAAATTGCACACATAACCTTGAGGTTGCATTGATTACGCCGGCTGCCCTTACTTTTCATGGAACCCTGCCACTTGGGGCAGTGTGTGTGGGAGGGGACTTTGGACTTGAAGAACACAGGCACTGTTTGGCCACTGACGTGCCTTGGTTGAATTCTGGCTACACCTCTTCATGGCTGGGAAAACACGGGCAAGTCTCAACTTTTTCAGTACCTAGAAATTGGGATCAGTAGTCAGTACCTGCCTCATAAGGCTCTTTTAAGAACTTAAAAAAAATTTTTTTTTAATGTTTTTATTTAGTTTTGAGACAGAGACAGAGCATGAGCAGGGGAGGGGCAGAGAGAGAGAGAGAGAGAGACAGAATCCGAAGCAGGCTCCAGGCTCTGAGCTGTCAGCACATAGCCCCATGCGGGGCTTGAACTCATGGACTGTGAGATCATGACCTGAGCCGAAGTCGGACGCTTAACCGACGGAGCCACCCAGGCGCCCCTGTCTTAAGAACTTTTAAAAGATAAACTGAGATGTATTAAAAATGTTGAGTTTATTTGAGCAAAAAAATGATTTGAGTTGCACGGTATCCAATCTAGCAGATAGAAAGAAGCTCTGAAGTGAATGACTTTTCAGGCAGAAGGGAGCAGGAAGAAGCCACATTGGTTGGTTATTGCTAAATTGTCTTCCATTAGGGGAAAGTAGGAGTCTATCAGGCACATTATCTGACTAGTGCTGATCAGGTGATCCTTGACTGGTTTAAGATTTCATTTCTGGAAGAGCTGGAACTGTATTAAGGCAAGTCTCTGGTGACGTGGGGCTTAGCATAAGCAATTCCATTTGGGGCCTGCTGTCTTGTTTTTAATAGGACAAAACAAGATAATTCATGCAAAAGCACTCAGCACGGTGTTTTTAGTTTTCATGTGTTAGTTTCCATCTTTGGAAGGGAAAACGAGGATGTGGAAGATGAAACAATTTATAAAATGATCTTTTGGTGCCACGTCTGGGCTGATGAAATATTACGTTCTGTATAAAGCTTGACACTCTCAGCCTTATTTGAGCCTTGTCCGCAAGAACCCCCATGCCCAATACGGCCTTCATAGTTTTGTCTGGCAACAGAACAAATCCAAAGACTCCTTGGCGTATGATGGGTCATTGACCAACCGGAGGCTCACGGTGAGTCACGTGCTTTGCACCAAAGCTTTCCCATTGCGAAAAAGGAATAAGAAAACCTTAGTTCGCTGGGTTCTCGGGAGGGCTTGAGTACGATCATGCATATAAAACATTTCCCAATCCACAAAAGGCTTTCACAAGTAAGTATGATTATTTTGATGATGGTGGTGATGATGAAAATGATTTTAGGTGGCTGAAGTGTTAAAGGACAAAAATGTTACGCAATCCCTTGAGAACAGTTCTAGGAGCGAATGCTGAAGTCTAACGCGGACCCAGCTTTCCATTGTCCAGATCCATATGATCGGCCACCTGCCGGCAGGGGGCCTGTCCTGGAATCTGACTGATGGCATTCCTACTGTTGTACCCCCTGTCCTTGTTGGCCACAAGTGACATAAACTATTCAAACGCCAAGGAAGGACCAATTCCCCTCTTTGGATATCTTGGCCTTTTTTCAGGGAAGGAGTCTTTCTCCTCAAGAAGTTGGAATCCACTCCCTGTCTCTCAAAAATAAATAAATGTAAAGTATTTTTAAAAAACGGCGGCGGGGGGTGTGGCGCCTGGATGGCTCGGTCGGTTAAGCGTCCGACTTCAGCTCAGGTCATGATCTCACGGTTCGTGGGTTCGAGCCCCACGTCGGGCTCTGTGCTGACAGCTCAGATCCTAGAGCCTGCTTCGGATTCTGTGCCTCCCTCTCTCTCTGCCCTTCCCCTGCTCACGGTCTGTCTCTCCCTGTCTCTCCAAAATAAATAAATGTAAAATATTTAAAAAAAATAAAAAGAACTTGGGATCCATTTCTTGACGAGGCATTTACGTGCCATGTTGGGGGAAAAAAAAATCGATCTGCAAAGAAAGCCTGTCAAAGAAAACACTGACTCAGACTGCATTATTCCTTCAGCTTCTTTAATGAAAAGCAGCTGCCCCTCTTCACAGCTGCAGTGGGGTGAGGGGCCTCAGGGCACCCGTTTGGGATTGGGGGTGAAGTTCAGTGTCCCTCAAGTCAGTAAGGATTTTATATCTACCATTAGAACTTTCCTGTCTTGGAATGAGAAGAATGAGGCCTGAAGCATATTAAACCTCCCACCTACGTATCCAGACTGATTTCTTGCCATATCCCAGGTTTTAGTTTCTGTTTTAGGTATACACTGTCCTTTTCATTTCCGTCTTGGGAATGTTCTTTGCGTGCCCCCACCTCAGGGCCTTTGTACATGTTATCTCTGGGTCTTGCACAGTCTCTTTCTCTTTCTTCCATCCCCCTATGGTTTCATAGGACTATAGCCTACCCTATAGTAATTTCACCTATCACAGCACCTATTTTTAGCCATCTGTCTGTTGGTCTGTCTCCTTCGCCGGCCTGGTGAGTCTGGAGAGTAGGACCATTTCACCATTCCACACTTCCCCATTGCGTTCCTTCCGCCCTAAGTGCCTGGCTCATTTTATGTGTCCAATAGCCATTGCAGAATGAAAAAGTAAATGAAGCTATGCCACTACTCTTCTTTCTAACGCTGCTTTGAGTTTCAATATTTTAATCTCTTATGGACATTTTTATGCGATGGCATGCGATCCTTTTATAGCATGCAAGGGCCTGGGATCCTTAAGCCCTTCTTCAATGAGAGAAACCAGCTAGGCTTTCCCAATTAAATTGCCCATTCCCACGGGCAGGAGGCAGATTTGCCTTTGGGAATAGCCCTGTCTAAATGAAGGGAATTGGAGTCCTAGCACTGAGATAGCTAATTGGTGCGAATTACTTTCCATGCGTGAGCTGAGGATACAGCCCTGGGTAGCAAGCAACCATTTGTCATTGTGTGTGTGTGTGTGTGTGTGTGTGTGTGTGGGTGGGTGTGTTTTACATTTTTATTTATTTATTTATAGAGCAGGGAAGGGGCAGAGAGAGAGGGTTAAAATCCCAAGCAGGCTCTGCACCGTCAGCGTAGACCCTGACCCCATGAGCCCTGAGATCAGGACCTGAGCTGAAATCAAGAGTCGGACACTTAACTGACTGAGCCACCCAGGCGCCCCTTCATTGTTGTTAGCGCTCCCGTTCTAGTCTCAAACTGGAGCGTTTCCGGGGGGGGGGGGGGACCTGTCTATCTGGGTAACTTCCAGATCCTACGGGACTTGCACAGAGGCCAGCATAGAGCGGGCTCTGGGTGGAGAATAATTTTGAATGAATGACTGAATAAGTAGAGGCAGACACAACTAAATATCTTAGGTGTTTTGGTATACACATGGTCATGGATATAACATATATAACGTATATGGATCCATTGTATGTTATATAGATACGTTATTTACATGCGGTAGTGTGTGTGTGTGTGTGTGTGTGTGTGTGTAAAATCATATCCTCAAAACAGGCCTGAGAGACCACTAATACTCACGTTTACAGATGAAGAAAGAGAGATGTTAAATAACCTGTCCCAAGTTATACAGATGGGAAATGACGATGTCCCTTTTGAACCTCTTAGTCTTCCATTGGAAGCCTGTGCTTTCAACTGCCTCTAAAAAAAAAAAAAAAGTTTATTTTTTTAGTTTGAGAGAGAGAGCAAGAGAGTTCTCCTATGAAAGCATGCACACAAGTGGGATAGGGGCAGGGAGACAGGGAGAGAATCCCAAGCAGCGTCTGCACCGTCAGCCCAGATCCTGACGTGGAGTTTGAACCCATGAACTGTGAGATCATGACCTGAGACAAGATCAGGATTCAGAAGCTTAACCGACTGGGCCACCCAGGTGCCCCTCTATTTGTTATCGATATTGCTTGTTTTATTTTATTTATTTATTTATTTATTTATTTAATATTTTATTTATTTTTGAGACAGGGAGAGACAGAGCATGAACAGGGGAGGGTCAGAGAGAGGGAGACACAGAATCCGAAACAGGCTCCAGGCTCCGAGCTGTCAGCACACAGCCGACGCGGGGCTCGAACTCACGGACCGCGAGATCATGACCTGCTGAGCCGAAGTCGGCCGCTTAACCGACTGAGCCCCCCAGGCGCCCCGATATTGCCTGTTTTAAAAGGGTGTGGGATAGGGGACACGGTTGTCTGTTGTCATATGCACTTATTCCATCAGGCTCTGCTAAAGGCAGGGTAGTTACCTAGACGCATTAATCAACAAAACTTGTCCCCACTCAAAAGTCACCTTTAGCCTGGGGGGCTCACTTGGTTAAGTATCCAACTTCGGCTCCGGTCATGATCGTGTGGTTCGTGGGTTTGAGCCCTGCGTCGGGCTCTGTGCTGACAGCTCAGAGCCTGGAGCCTGTTTCAGATTCTGTGTCTCCCTCTCTCTCTGCCCCCTCCTCTGCTCATGCTCTGTTTCTCTCTGTCTCAAAAATTAAGAAAAAAAAAATTTTTTTTAAGAAGTTAGTGTTAATGAAATATTGACAAACAGGAAAGAGAAAAAGATTAGGCAAGGTGTGTTTCACCTGAGGGCTGGCAAATGTTTATTTTTAACCGATTAAATATTAGCACATTGATCAGTGCTGTGGGGCCCGTCTACTTCTGGTTCTTGTGAAAGTGACTCTGCCATTGGAGCCACACAATCGTCACTTTAGCTCCTGGGCCCTCCGATTCTCACTTCATTAATTGGAAGCAAGAAGTATCAGCAGAGATCATTCACCGGGCACGCGGAGTGATAAAAAGCTGGTCAGTCTCCAACTGTTGTTTGTTTTGTTTTGTTTTGTTTTTACCCCATTAGGTTTGAAACCATTGGAAAGGAGACCATGCTGGAGCCTCTCTGCTACCTCCTTTCTCCCTCCACCTGGCCAGCTGTTCCCGGAGGAGCAAGCTCCTGGGATTGGGATTTGTGGGTTTGTGAAGTAGGGGGCCCCGTGGGGGGAGGGAGGAAAGAGAGCTTAGCCGTCCACGGTTGGGACGGTGACAGTGAGAGTACTTTACGGGCAGCTACTTTTAACTCATGGTCCCACATCAGCCAGCACAGAGTCACAGACCGTGGGCGGCAGGAAAGCGTGGGCGTGGGGAGGGGGGGAGGCTGAGGCCAACGCTGACCACAGGTTCCTCAGGTTGAACCTAAAGAAACTGTATTTAGTTAGACCCCAGCGCACCTAGCTAATGCAGACTCCTGGGCCCTGCACTTAGGGTCCTTAAGTATTACAGCTCCCGGCAGGTGCAGACAGATGCCTGGTCCAGGACAACTCTGAGGAAGTGATGGTAATGGAAGGAGCAAGGGCAAAGGAAATACTGAATGGTGTAGGCAGCCAGAAACAGAGCTCCGGAGCCCTCGACTCGCCCCCCTGGAAGCTCTACTGTGTCCCTTCTGCCCAGAGTCCCCACAGCTCATGTAGGTCAGATCCCTGAGAACAGATGTGACTGAGCCACAAAAGAAAAAAAAAAAAAAAGGCTAAATTTAGCAGGACATCATCAAACCCTTTCGTTTGATGAGTAATATTTGCCTAGTGCTTTGACGCTTTTGAAAGAAACATGAAATCAGAGGGTAAATGACTGGGACAGTACACAAAGCAGGTAGCTTGCCAGCAGGGCTTTAAGATAATCCTGAATCGAAGCAACTATGTCAAAAGCACAAGCAGGGTGTTGAAAAGGCTTTCGTAATTTATTTAGAAAGGATCTCATGTCCTTAGGAAAGGACTACGTTTTTCTTGCTAGAGGTGAGCAAACGCTTGGGTTCATGGCCATTAGATCAGACGTAATTAATAGAATGCTAACTCATTATTTCTGAAACCAAATCCCCCAGGTGCTGAGAGCAAGGCAGGAAGTAAAAAGCCACTCAAGCAAGAGACCGTGGCTTATTAACCACACTTCCTGTGATGAAACACTATCATTTCTTCTCTTTGCTTTAAATTTGTATCGCGATGAATGGTTTATAACACACCTTTCTATCGAAACGGACAGCTTTGAGTATTTCAAGGTAGAGAAGAATGGGTATTAACATCCCCATTTGTAGAGGAAGATATGGGGACTCAGGCTCCCACGCTCAGAATGAGCGCTTCACTTCCTCTCCTCTTTCCAAACCTAGTCTTAGCCCCTCACGTTATGATTGCTTCAAACTGGATAAAATGGGAAGAAGCAGACTGATCACTAAGAGGGTCTGCCCAGCTTACATCCAGGCTGTCTCCTGGTAGGGTTTCCTGCTGGTTTGGGGGACCACCATGAAGATGGGGGGCACAGGGAGTCCTATTAGGGAGTTCTGTGACATGGCTTATCAAGGATTATACAGTAACTGACGAGCACTGAGCACTTGCTGGTACTGTGCTGAGACCTTTTCATGTATTAGCGTCATGATGATCTGTGAAGTTGGTATTATTATAAGTCATTCTACAGATAAGGACACAGAGGCACGGATATGAAGCCCCCTTTCCAAGGTCACACAGTAGGTGTAAACCCATCTAGATCTGTACTTGTGGGCCGAATGCTAATACTCCGTCGCTAACTTTGTTGTCAGTGACATTCCTAGCAGTTTGAGTGAATTTATAAGAACAGTGAATGCAGCAGAGAAAGAGCATGCTCAGAGTCAGGACACCTGAGTTCTGGTCCCAACCGTGCTACTGCCTGGCTGTGTATCTAGGGCTCCCTTTACTCATCCGCAAAACTAAGGTTTGAGTCCACGTATTCTCTGTGGTTCTTCACAGATCTAATGGGGCACATTCGATTAAAGACTGTCCTATTTGAGTCTTCACTTCCCAAACTAGAGTCTGAAGATACTCTCCGAGCTCCTGCAACTCCGAAAAGTTACACTAGTTACTTTAGAAAGACTAAGTTTGTAAGAACTATTGTATTTAGTGGCTGAGCCTTGCAAAGTTCCTAGAATGTTAAAAATTCGTATTTCCGGGGGCGCCTGGGGGGGCTCGGTTGGTTGAGCGTCCGACTTCGGCTCAGGTCATGATCTCGCGGTCCGTGAGTTCGAGCCCCGCGTGGGGCTCTGTGCTGACAGCTCGGAGCCTGGAACCCGCTTCGGATTCTGTGTCTCCCTCTCTCTCTGCCCCTCCTTTCCTCGTGCTCGTGCTCTGTCTCTCTCTGTCTCAAAAATAAATAAAACATTTAAAAAAACTTTTTTTAATTCATATTTCGATGCTGCCACATGGGCTTGTGTTGATGTTGACATCTAGCGTCCAGTGACTCCTCATGGTAGTTCTGAGAGGTGAGTGGGTGACTGTGGGTCAAGGTGGGGAAGGACAGCATTCTCACCTCTCAAACACCTCTCTTTTGATGGCTTTTAGCGGCCAAAAAACCACTTTCACAGATCACAGGAGCTCATTTAATCGTCCTAACACCCTGTGAAGAAGGTGTTAGCCTTCTCATGTTACAGATGAAGAAATTAACCCCAGAAAGCGGCATGCCTTGACTAAACTCTAAACACTCACAAATAATGACAGGGGCCCCGCACCTCATCTTTTGACTCTGAATCTAGATATATTTCCGTTGAGTCTTGTAAGGACCGCAGCATCGTGTAGCCAGCAGGGCTGGGGAGTGGCTGTTCGATTCACGACGCCAACCCTTAGCATCCCTGTGGTCTTGGGTGAGTCATCCAGACCCTATGTGTCTCATCTGTGAAATGGGTTAATGATACTCACCATGCAATGGTAATGGCTTAGAAATATGTTCAATTCAAATACATACATTCAAAATCACTTAGTAGCGGACCTGGTGCAAAGCAGATACTCAAAAGTCACTATTATTTCCATTTCTCCATGTTTGAAAACTTCGTATCTTCTTTTGCTTCCAAGAAGTTGACAGTGCAGTCACTGAAGCTTATGGCGTTGTTATGCAAATAAGGAACCAGTTACTTTTCCTATGGAAATAATTTTTTTTTGTTGTCAGTGAAGGGCAAAGATGAAGATAAATTAGGAGTTTGAAAAATTGTCCATTTAATACATGAGAATAATCTGGGGCCGCAGGGTTACAGTTTTCTGGCTATTTAAGTCTCTTCATTCTTTTGGCTCCTAAATCTCACTTCCCATCTTTTAAACTCACCTTTAAGGGGCGCGTGGGTGGCTCAGTCGGTTGAGCGTCTGACTTCGGCTCAGGGCATGGCCTCGAGGTTCGTGAGTTCGAGCCCCGCGTCGGGCTCTGTGCTAACGAACAGCTCAGGGCCTGAAGCCTGCTTCGGATTCTGTGTCTCCCTCTCTCTCTCTCCCCCTCCGCCTCCCCTGCTCATGCTCTGTCTCTCTCTCTGTCTCTCAAAAATAAATAAATAAATGTTAAAAAAATAAATAAAAAATAAATAAACTCAGCTTTAAAAAGCGAACTCACAAATGGTATGATGTATTAGTCAGGCTGCCCCCTCAGGCATTATGCTCAGAAAAGTAAACTCTAATGGAAAGTCAAGCATTGGAAAATCTATATTCAGCATATGCAGCTGTGTCCGTGGTGAAACATTTACCCATTCTCAATTTACGGTGGAATAAGCAAAAGGCTAGTGTCCAGAGAGAATAAACAAGCCTCTAAGCTAGACGTTTCCATTTTTTATTACTATTCATGTACATTTATTTAAAAAAAAAAAAACATTTATTTTAACCACCGTTATTTATTTTCCAGTTCCAGAAGGTTCGTGCCCTGCTGATGATCACCGTTAGTTTCTGGTATTTCTTGACCTGTTGTGTGTGGAAGGCTCTTTGCATTATCCCATTGAATCCGTCTGACCCTGCAGCGAAGCGTGAAGAGCCTCACAGTGCTGGCTGACTCTAGAGTCTGTGGTCTCTCCTCCACCTTCTGGCCTCCGGGATTCCCTGAGGCTCTTTGTCGGGACCTGTGGTGGAGAAAAACATGCGTTTGGCTTGTCAGCAATTTCAAGACCCTGCCAACTGAGACAATCTTCCCTGAAACGGGAAGAGGAGGGTACACTGGCCAGAGGAATTCTCCAGTTGCAGACAGGCATATGGCGCGATGCTAGACTGGAACCGAGGCCCCTGCACTGAGTCTGATTCTAGCCCCATAGCCTTTGGGGGCTTTGGGTACATTCTAAACTCTTTCGGAGCCTTAGTTTCCCCTTGCATTGAAACCAAGACTTGAAATCACGAATCTCCAACTTCCTTTCCAGCTGCAGGATCCTATGGTCTAAAACGAGTTTTCTTAAACGAGTTTTCTAGCTAGGCTAAAACAATTCGGGCTTGGGAACAATTATGTGAAGTCCACTAGGTTTTGAAGAGCTCAATTTTGGTGATGGGTAATAATGAGTTTAACCAAAAGTAGGAACGACGAGAGATGGGTGGCTGAAACCGTCATTTACTCCTCTCCCCAGAAAAAGGATTGGCTGCGCGTCAGACAAAATTTAGTTTCTAAGCAGCACGCCAGGAAAACCAGATGCGTCTGGTAGCATAGAAGGGGCAACTGCCTTGGGATTCTTGTTCCCCTACCATAATCAGATTCCCATGGTCCCAGTGGGCATAGCCTTAGAGTTGAGCTGGGAATCATAAAGCAGGGATCGTCACCTGGCTTCAAGCTGAGGTACCTCCTACCAAGTAACCAGTAAGCGGCATGAATAGTTATGGTGCTCGCAGGCAGAGGAGGGAATAATCAGGCCACTATGAAGATGCTGCAGAAGGTTAGAGGGCGTTCCGGAGAGGTGGCGGGAAGACTGGACCTTCTTTGAAGACTGAGTCGGACCCAAGTAAACGAAGAAGCGTTGGTGGCTAGGGGGACAGAAGGAGAGAGGGGACATACTGCAGCTGGAGAAAAAAGAACAATCCAGGTTACCACAGGCAGCGGAGATACGGAGGTCGTCTGGATCAGGTCCAGGGTTTGTAGGTGCTAAAGACACGCGGAGTTGTGACGAGGGAACCAGATGAAAAATGTTAGGGCCACCCAGTTTTTCTTTCGTCGAGTGAAATTTGGTCACTGACAAAGAAGGTAATAACCAATTGGTTATCAACTTGCTTTTTAAGAACAGTCATTGCGCAGGGACAACTCTGGCAAGGGTGACCTTGGTATCGTCATAGGCATGTGCTTGTCTTAGCCTAGTTGGCTAATGTGAAGGTCTCCATAGAACATAATGCCATTGAAGGTGTGGTGGCAGTTGAGTCTTAGATTTCTTTTGACATCAGCTGCCTCCATCGATTCGTCGCAACGAATCCATACTCTCCTTCTTGAGCTCAATGATCTCAGAGTACAGGCCATACTACTGAGTGAGCTGTTTGATGCAATTTTCACATCTAGAAGTGTTTTGCGATGAATACTTCCCATTGGGTATAGGGAACTCCACTGGGGTCATATCGTTCACCCACAGGCAATGACAAAGGTCCACTGTAGCTCTGCGAGCTGCTCTGCAGGTAGGTCCTAGCACAATTTCAACCTCTCCCAAGGCCGCTTGTGCATCCCAGCCATAAAATAGTCTGCACTAAGATACTATTTTCCGAATCTCTCTAATGTCACAAGGATGATTTGTCACGGTAAAGGCTATCAACACCCAAGTAAGTTATGACAAGGCCTCTTCAGGCTTTAGTTCGAGGTCTTCGTTAACATTAACGTTCTTATTTTCTCATAGCCAACATTTTCTAACTCGAGACCAGTTGATTTCAGGAATAATCTATGTCTGTGCAAATCTGCCTAGCTGAGGAGAACTTCTGACATCAGTCATCAGTACCTTACGGAGCACTTTTCTCATACCTATTCCTGTCACATAAGATGCTAAAGTAGTATTTTTAGAGCTTGAGAATTGCTCTTGGGAGTCAAAACACGTAGTTAAGGGAATAATCCTCTATTGCTTCCTCCCTCCCTCCCTTCAACTGCAACAACATTGAGTGTATATATTTTAGCAAGCAAGAGCTGGGGAATCTGAGACAGGTTATCTCCAAATCTCTGCCTTCAAGGAATGCATAGCCTAAGAGAGTTAGATCTCAAGAAATAACTCTGTGGGCCGCATGTCCGCTGAGTTACCCTGTCCATCAAGAGTCAAGTAAGAGCGATTCAAATCCTAACCTAGAAGTAATGGTAGCCTTGAGTCCCTTCCGGGCCTTTCAAAATAATTTTTTATGGAGGGAGGGAGGTAGAAGGAGTAGGCAGGGGGTGAGGACAATACTGACATTCTCCCTTTTCACCTCTGGCTGCATCTTACTGTTCCATATGTCACGTTCCTGCATCACATAGCCTGAAGTGTGGACCCTAACTTCAACCGCCCGAAACTTCGCACCTACAAGACAGTTGTTTGCGTGGTGGACTTTATTGAACGTTTGAGATGATTGGAGGGATTTCACACTGTCCATTGCTTGCCTCCACCTCTGTATACGCCCGATTTCCTCACTTGTTTGGTCTTTCCACTTTAACGCAGAACAGAGAAGCTTGACAGAATTGTAGACGGTGAAGGACGAAATGAAGTGTGAAGGATGAATAGGCAGTGGCCAGGTTGGGGGGTGCTTGACAGCGGTGAGGGGGCTTTCTTTTCGTGTAATCAGGCAAAGCCCTCCATCTCCTGTAGCTCTCTGCTCCACGATCTCCTAGCCATGGACTCTGCATTGTGTCTGCTCAAACCGGGCCATCTACTCACGCCTCACGCTTCAGTGGTACCAAAGAACAGTAGAGGCTGAAATGTTCTCATTCTTTCCCAGCCCCAACCCAGTCCCTGAACAGGGAAGGGAGCACTATAAAGATTCACTGATATTGAATTATGTCACTTTCTTTATTTTTTTATATTGCATATGATTTATTGTCCAATTGGTTTCCATACAACACTCAGTGCTCATCCCAACAGGTGCCCTCCTCAATGCCCATCACCCACTTTCCCCTCTGGCCC